TGACAGATGTCCAAGCAGGTTTAAAGCCTTTCCCTGTCCCTGACCATGGCAGGGACACGATTTTACAGATCTGAGCCACCAGCAGCACTTGTGGTGTCACCTGAGATTTCTGAAGCACAAAGACAATTCACTGCCTATTTTCTGTTTCCACTACCATCAAACATCTCATTTCTTGCTGATTTTCTCCACTGGGCACCTGTTTGCAACCCTAAGCTGCTAAATCCCTGTAAAATCCATTCCTCTCCTCAGTGCTTTTCCTTTCAGGGGAGGAGGGAGGGCAATAACAGAGCAATAAAAATGTTTTACAAGAAAGTGTGCAAGGTTAATGAGTGAGATTCATTCTGCACCACCCCACTGGACTCCAAGCAGATGTTTGCTTGGTCTGTGGAGAAAGTGGTGTTAAAATTTCACTGGAAAACAGAAAACATCTGCCACTCACCTCTGTGTAAAATCTTCAGGCTCCATAAATAGGTCAGGCCTTTCACAACCTTTAGGTAAAAGAAAGAAAGAAAAACAAAAATCACATTTTAGGGATTCCTGATGGGAAAAATTCCCCATTTCAGCTGGGGTGGGAGACCAGAGAAGCCAGGTGTGAGAATGAAGGCAGGACAAGGGGAGACCCCACCTCCCTCCCAGGTGAGGCCTTGCTGAAAACCTGCAGCAGGTCCTTTATTAATGCACTAATTAATAACACACACATTAACTCCTCGCCAGGAGCTGTAAGCTGAACTCGGCTGAGCTCACACTGAATCCCTCCAGGCATCTCAGAGGATCTTTAATTCACCTGCCCTTGTGGGGAGCTAAAAGCCAGGAAGGCCAAAGGATGGAATGATCTGTCCTCCTGAAAACGGCCAGGAACCAAGGAAATCTCTTAATAACCTCTCCCACCTCATCCTTTCTTCCATTTGCTGCACCCTGTGCCTTTTCCTTTGCTTTTTAAAATTTACTTTAATGCAAATGTGGAACTTTTTTCCTCTTGAGCTGTGTAAATTCCCTCATTCTCCTCTCATGATGGAGCAAACAGAAATCCTGCTGCATCTCACAGCAGAGAAACTACAGATCCTAAAACACAGCTCCTAGAGGGAAATACAACTCCTAAAACCAAACACAATTCCTAAAATACAATTCCTGAAAGGAAATACAACTCCTAAA